TGTCAACATAATTATCTTTATTAAAAAAATATACTTTTCTGAAACGTGCAAAAAAAAAAAAAAAAAAAAAAATACTTTTCTGAAATATGATACACGCTTAGGCGGTCATGTATCTTTCGATACATGACTGACTAGGTAGATTTTTTTCCCCGCAGTATGTTGCTATTTCTTTCTGCGATAGACCAGTTGCCATCCAAAGCTATAGAACACGGCCTGTCCTGCTATTTACCAATGGCTATCGAAGAAGAGGAACTATACCTTTCCTCAAAGGTATTAGCACGCAACTTAATATGGCTTCGACTGAATTCGAACTCTGCTCTCCAATTCCTCAATTCGAGCCACTATCCATTACACCACCGTGCTTCCAAAAAAAAAAAAAATGAAAATATTACTTTTAGATTAAAATATCACAGAAAAACGGTTTTTATTTTAACAATGTCGGGTGTTTTATATGGTGTTGATACTTATTACTAACCTCCTGTTTGGGAAATTTATCTAAGTTGGCGATAATTATAAAATTACATAAATACAACGTAAACGCTTTTTATAATTTTTGTTTTAACTATTCAGTAATCTTTAAACATTCTAATATTTTATTGAATTTTAGGTAGTCTGGCTTTATAGTCATACTTACGAAGACGCTTGTTGAGGAAGTGATAGAAAATTATCAATAAATTTCAGGTTTACTGTAGTTATTGCACTAATTCTGATAATGTCATATGGACGCCCATGTTTACAAAAATCAGCATGTTTATACACGCACCCCGTTTATAAATTATTCTAATTTGAGAATAATAAAAAAAAAAAAAGAAAAAAAGAAGAAATCTTGTAAAAATTAAGTTATTCATCGAATAAAAAGAAACAGTTTTTATAAGAATAGTATCCTTAATATATTTTATTCATAAACGTAATTAAAGGATTTTCTAAATAAATAATGTCTTGGGTTTATTTTACGATTCAGAACAGATTTTCTGTAATTCGGGGTGTCCTTTTTGACAAATAATAATAATAATAATAATAATATATATATATATATATATATATATATATATATATATATATATATATATATATATATAAGCATTAATAAAAATTATCAACATTTCATAAAATTAATTAAGTGGCGGATTGGGCGGGAACAGATGTAAAATGTGTTTTCGAGGCAAAAAAGACGCTCAATTTTAACCTAATTTATGATTAACCGTTGACGTCTGAAAAAAAAAAAAAAAAAAAAGATTTTTAGCCAAAGTATTGACGGTTCTAAAAAGAATTTAAAAAAAATTAATACAAAAAAATCTCTTGGTCATTCCTCTTAATGACAAAGATTTTGAGAATAAAACTTTACTAAATTTGGTGTTTTTTTTTCATTATGTATTCTCGTTTTTTTAGCGAATCTTTGGAAGGGGGAGGTACCTATACAGTGGGTAGCAAAAGTATGTAACACTTTTTATTTTTTTAAATTTTTTTTTTATAAATTTCACAATAAAAAATTGTTCAATCTGAATATTTAATTTAAATATAAAGGAAAATTAAAAAAAACATTGTTTTTATGTACTTTTATTGCCAATTTTCGAATTTGACTGTGTGTAAAAATATTTCACACTATTTGTTAATATTTAGTAGCATGTCCTGCCTTACTGCCTTTAATCGTATTCTGTAGTTTTCAACGAGCTTCTTGCTTGAAGATTTTAGCAGTTTCATCCATTCTTCAGACTTTCAGTTCCTTGATATTTTTTTTTGATCTCTTATACATAGTCTCAACTTTTTCCATAAATTTTCTATTGGACCGAGATCTGGTGATTGGCAAGACCATTCCAGAACATCAATTCCATTTTCATTGAATCAGTGTTGAGTTGTTTTAACTTTTAGCAATGTGCTTTGGATCGTTGTCCTGTTGGTTTATACAAAATCTCGGTCAAGCCCTGTTGCACTTCTTAATAGATAGGTTAAGACTTTCTTGTATTTTGCTGCATTCATTCTTCCTTCTATGACTTCTATTTCTCCTCTCTTATACGAAGAAGAACCCCAAATCATTGCACTTCCACCCACCATATTTGATTGTTGGGATGGTGTTTACTGGGTTGTATTCACTGTCGGAGTTACCTCCTCCTTCAGTTTGTAACCCTTTCACCAGAGGTCTCTCTTTCCTGGCTATAAATAGCCAATGACCCTTCGCTTCGATCTCTCTTTTGACTTTTCAGGCTTGTGCACTAACGCACCGAGGTAAATTTCTTTTCTTCCTAGAGGATTTCAACTATCAACCTCAAAATGTAGTCCCTAACAAGAAATAGCGTGAAATCACGCTAAGCACAATACACACACGCTCGCACACACGGAATATTCCCACACACTTTGTCCTTTGTACTGTTTTCTTGTATTGTAACTTGTTATGAATATATATTTGTTGTGTATACATATATTATCGGTCTTGTGTTGTTTGCTTTCTTTTCCTTCTTTGGACTTAATCAAAGTCCAACCTTTTTATGTAGTTGGGCCCGGCGAGCAGGAGTATCTGAACCATACAGGCGTTTCGTCCACGTCTGACTTCTCTCAACAAACCGTAATCGACAACATAACAGCCACGGCCCTCTACATCACTTCCTTTTTCCTCTATACTCGGGTGCACGTGTTTCTCCCGAAAAGCTCACTTTTCGGCCCATCTGACCAAAAAACTTTCTTCCAGAATCCATTCGATTTAAAGTTCATAATTTTTAACAAATTTCAATAGGCCTTTCACATGTTTACGTTTTAATAGTGGAGTTTTTCTTGGTGATCTAGAATACAGGCCTGTACGATTCAGTGATCTCTTAATTGTATATTTACTTCAATTTCGGCATTTTTCAGAATTCGTTCTGAATTTCTCTTGGAGTCAAAAATGGTTGTTTCTTCACATTCCGGGCTATACAGCGTTCAGTATAGGCACCTCGAGGCGGTGTAATGGTTAGCAAACTTGTCTCGCTAAAACAATTACGACTTAGTAGCGAGTTCGATCCTCACTGGGTGCCCCATACTTTCGGCCTTGTGCCACATCTAAGCAACGCTTGGAAAGTCACTATATCGTTAAGTAGCCTCGTTAAATTTACGTGGACGACTACTCTTCTGAATATTTTCAGTAGTATCATATTTTTTCCACTTTCGAACAACATCACCCACTCTACACACAAGCAAATTTTAATCTTGATCAATTTTTCGATGTCCCTTACCATCTTTGTACAGCTTTATAATCTTCTGTCACATATCATTTGACAATTCTTTTTTTATGAGTTTAGATAGCGGGACAGTCTGTACTGTATCAGACCTGTTATCACTATGTGCCGATTGAGTGACATGCTTGTTTAATACATATATTGAGGACAACCTGTGATTGGTTGAAGTACAAACCATATCAAAATAACTGAAAATAGTTTTAATATACCATTTTTACCGTATAATTTTTGTAGGTGTTAAATATTTTTACACAATCAAATACGAAAATTGGTAATACATAAAAAAAAAACAATGTTTATTTTCCTTTATGTTTAGTTAGACAATGTTCATTAAAATATTTGAAGTATCATTCAAATTGAACAATTTTTTATTGTGAAATTTATAAAAAAACCGACGTGTTAAATACTTTTGCTACCCACTGTATGTATGTATGCATATATATATCGTAAACATCAAGTTATCAATAAAAGTGAAAACATTCCATGAAAACACCCACCTTAGTGTTAAATACTTTTTTGCGATATTTCAAATTAAAAGTAAATGATATTTTTAAAATTTTTTAAATCATTTAATCTTCAAATTAGAGTCTCAGAACAGTATATTTTACTTTTGAAAGGTTTTTTTTTTTTTTTTTAATAAAGAGAATTATGTTGTGTCGACAGATTTGTCAATATGACCGATTTTAGCGATTAAAAAAAAATAGTTCCAGTTAATTTAATTTCGGTTTGAAATACAGAAAAGTATTTTGCTTATTCGAAATTATTAATTTTAATCTATTAGCTTGAAATCGAAACTAAAAGAAAAGCTTCAAGAAAGATTTTTAAAAATGAATTTTAATCATTAGGTGTCGCTTTTTTATGGGGAGATATAAAAGACAAAGTATAAAATTTATTAACGAGTTTCGCCGGGAACATCCGCTATCTTTGGCTTCCTCAGATTAAAATAAAGAAGTAAACTATGTAAAGAAAATTGCTTTGGGATCTGAGGATAAGTGATGGGGGGCCAAATAAAATTTATCACCTCCAATATCCAGACTCAAGTGTCTGTTGGGCCTGTTTTCACTATATTAGAACTGTTTGTTGTGGTTATAAAAATCCAACACCACCAAACGAATGATGTAGATCTAGACAAACAGGCGGACAGAGACTCTTTACTTTGGACATTGAAGGTGAAAAGGTAATCTAATTTAGTTTTATTTATGGTTGACATCACTTATTCTCAGAGAACCCAAGGGATTTTTCTTGGGTTTTTTTTTGTCTTTCATTCTAACCTACGGAAGCAGACACTTTCAGTGACACGCGTCGTTAATCAATTTTCCAATTTGTCTTGGATACTATTTGTCTATATAAGGACACATGGCACAGTGGATAAAGGCGTTAGTTAGATCCAGTGACAGGACCCAAATAGCGTGAGTTCAATACCCGATTAAGGCAGTGGAGAACTTTCAGAGGGAAATTAACAGGAGATAACTGACATCCATTAAACATGGCACGTGGAACCAGAACAGTGAGCGAAATAAAGGGTTCAGTTCGACATTCCAACCACCTGAAGAAGTCCGGAGCGTACAACGGCCGAAACGTTGTAATAAAAATGGCGAAAAAGATGAGGCCAGTCTTAATAATATATATATATATATATATATATATATATATATATATATATATATATATATGTGTGTGTGTGTGTGTTTTAGTTGTTTGTTTTATCTCCTTACCTGGAAAAGAGACGGCAAACTGTGTTTGTGTAGATAGCTCATGGCTTTGTCATAAGGATTTTCCTCTGGCGTCACATACCTCACGACAATATCCTTATCATGACAAACGACATTATTTGTGATTTCTTCTCTTCTTTCGACCATTTCCGGAGACTTGATGTCTGCTTCTTTCCCGGATCTTTCTCGCAATCTGCGGCGTTGCTTGGCGTCAGGCGGCTTACATTTCCAATTGTTTTCTTTGCATGTGATCTCCGCAGCAGCGACCTTGCCCTCTTCAGTGACGGTTGGTAACACGCTCTTGTCCGCATCGGAAACACTTTTTCGAGGCGTCGTACCTTCGTACGTGTCCGTGTTTCGACCGTCTGCCATATTTAGTAACCAAGGGCAACTGTTAGCCAAATACATACACAAAAGGGAGATAACTTTTAGAAGACTTACTTCCCTTACATTAGAGTCTAGTCGACATATTAATTTATTTAAAAAAAGTAAAAAAAAAAAAAAAAAAAAAAAAAAAAAAAAAAAAAGAAAAACTGGACCTTCCTGAAAAAAAAGAAATAAAAATATTGTTCTAGCGACCAACTATCAACTAAAATTGAAAGGAATTTATCTAAGCTTAATATGTAATTTGTTACAACTACTTCTAAAACAATGACTTGATACAAAACAAAATAAGCTAAAACTTAGTATTGAATATACTATCACTTATAATTGTCGCAAGGAATACATAGGTGAAACATCAAGGCATTTAACACAGAGGATTTTTTTTAACAAAACGTTGCATTAGTAGCTCAGCGTAATGAGTGCCCATAATTTTGACTTAATGCTAATCTAATTAAAATAAAGCAATTCCCCCGAGACGAAAAGTGCTTTAATAGCTAGATCATTCGCAGTAAATTTACGGCGAAATTATTACGCTTTCATGGGGGATTTATTACAACATGGTATATTTGATAACAAAAGTGATAGAAACATGAACAACTCTCTCTCTTTTGAATAAACACAATTTTAGATTCTTTCTGTATCATCAATCATCACTTATTAGTTACACCCCTTGTTTTTGCTGTTATTGTTTTGAGTCCCCGAGAGAGGGAGTGTCGCTCGGGGCAGTTTTGGAATAAAATGAGGAAATGACTACTATGGTTTTCGTGTTGCTTTTTCTGTCGTTACTAAATTAATTGCAATGTTTGTGTATGAAACATGGTGTCAGAAGTGGGATTAAAAACACAATAATATAAACATAATATAGTGAAAGGAACTTTAATTAAAAAAAAAAAAAAAAAAAAAAGTTTAAATTACAGCTTCCAGAAGATTCTGACTTCACAGACCCTGGAAGATGGACAGCATGACAACAGAGATTCCAGCACTTTAGAACAGCTTCGAAGTTAACTGAAGAATCAGTAGAAACTAAAGCTAGTACGTTAATATATTGTATGGGACCAGAAACCGAACAAATATACAGGTCATTTTCTTTCAGGAAAAAGGAAGATGAGAAAAATTTCGACATCATATTGAGCAAATATATCTATTTCACGCCGAAAAAAAAAAAAAAAAAAAAAATCCACGAACGAGCAAAATTTTACACGAGGACGCAGAAGCGTGGCGAACCGATAGAGAAATTTATCAGAGGATTGTACGAACTGGTAGAATATTGTGATTTTCGTAAAAGGTGACCAGATAAGAAACCACGAGTTTAGAAAAAAGCTATTGAGATAGGCCGTAGCTATGAACAAGTTAAAAACGAAATGGAAGAAATTAATGAAAACTCAGTAGTAACGAGGAGAACTCAAAAGACGAACCAGCCAGGAGGGAAAAATTATCCTCAAAATCCAGAGAATGTGCCTCCATCCAGAGGGAAGAAGTGCAACAGATTTCACAAGTTTGACAATTGCCCGGCAAAAGGGAAAACCTGCCGAAAGGTGTGATAAAATGAACCACTTTGTAATATGTTGCAGGTCAAAGTCTGCAAATGTACGTGAAATAAGAAAACAGCCATCAGAGGAATACTTCCTTGGATCAATATATAAAAAAAGAACTAAGAGAAAAATTAATAGATCCTTGGCATGTAAAACTAAAAAGGTAGGTGAAATACCTATTGTTTTTAAAATTGATACCGGGGAAGATATCAGCGTTATTAGTTCTAAGACGTTTCGAACATTGAAAAAACAAAAACAACCAAAAAACAAAAGTAAAAACAACCAAACAAACAAAAATAAAACAAAAAAAAACAAAAAAAAAAAAAAAAAAAAAAAAAAAAAAAGCCAAAAAACAACCAAAAAACCAACCAAAAAACAAATAAAACAACCAAAAACCATAAATGAAACAACCAAAGAACAAAAAAAACAGCCAAAAAACAACCAAAGAACAACAAAAAACAAGAAAAACAGCAAAAAAGAAAAACAGCCAAAAACAACAAAAAACAAATTTGGCAGTATATGGCATTTATAAAAATCCTGACGGTTCATTAACCTGTAAATGAAAATTCACAGTTAATACGAGATATAAAGACAAGTCGTATACATTTGACATTTATGTAATAGATAATAATACGGACAATTTGAATGGGACTTGTTGACGTAATAAACATTAAGAACGGTGGGAAATTAACTGGATGTATAAAAGGAGAACCAGTAAAAATTACACCAAGATGTGATGCAATACTATATTGCACACCAAATGCTAGATGTATACCTTTCCCAATTTTACACAAAGTAAAAAAGAAGCTTTAACACTTGGAAGAAGATATAATACAAAAAGTTATTCAACCAACAGACTGGTGCTCACCCATAGTTCCAGAAAAAATGGCGAGGTCAGAATATGTGTAGACCATAAAGGATTAAATTCAGCGGTAAAAAGGGGACATTTTATGCTAACAAATTTGAAGGATATAGCACCCAAATTAAGGGGTTCAAAAATCTTTCCAAAACTGGATGCAGCTAGCGGATTCCACCAGATACCGTTAGGTAAAGAAAGTCGCTTGCTTACGACTTTTATAACACCATTCAGAAGATTTTGTTTTAAGAGACTTCCTTTTGGAAATTCCTCAACTCCAGAAATTTTTCAACGAATAATGACAGAATTACTAGAAAAAAAAATTGAAGGGGTACACGTAATAATAGAGGATATACTAATTCAGGGTAAAACTATGGAAGAACATGACAGAAGACGTAGAGAAACATTAGAAGTAATAGAAAAATCAAGAATAACATTGAATGCAGATAAATTCGATATTTTCCACGTAATATCAGATAAAGGGATACAACCTAGTAAGTAAAAGATTGAGGCTATATTAAAGCTACCAGCACCTTCCTCAGGAGCTGATTTAAGGAGGATTCTTGGAATGACAATATTTAGGCAAATACGTGCCCAATCTAGCAGAAACATTGCAACCAATGTTGAAATTATTAAAGAAAGATACAGTTTAGGCCTGGAACGAACCACAAGAAAAGGCATTTCAGAGAGTCAAAAAAAAAAAAAAAAAAAAAAAAAAAACTTAACATAGGCAGCAATATAAACCTATGATCCTGGAAAGCCTATAATGATTAGTGCAGATGCAAGCAGCTTTGGGATAGGTGGAGCCATTTTTCAAGAGGAAGATAAAAATTTGAGAGTCATAGCTTATGGCTCTCGTACACTGACACAGAAATTTACGCTCAAGTATAGAAAGAATGTTTAGCAAGCGTATGGGCCTGTGAGAAGTTTGACCGATATATTGCTGGACTAGACAGTTTCGCCTATTGACGGGTCATTGACATTTGGTACCGTTAATCAATACTCATGATTTAAATAACACTTCTTTGAGATGCCAAAGACTGTTAATGAGACTTAGAAGATATAATCCTGTAGCTGAATAAATCCCTGGAAAACCCTTACTAGTATCAGATGCACTGTCCAGAAATCCAATATATCAAATCAATGGCACTACTGAGGAAGATGTTGAAACATACATAAACAGCATAGTAAGGACTAGATCAGCTTCTAGCAGAAAAATTATCAATGCTACATCTAAGGACTCCATTCTACAGGAAGTTATTAATCTCACATTAAATGGTTGGCCTAAGAAGGAAGATAGATTAAAGGAGGGAGTTAAGTCCTACTTTAACTTTAAGAATGATCTATCGATACATCAAAGCATTCTGTTTTATCAAGATCGCATAGTGATTCCACAAAATCTCAGAGCAGAAATACGAGTAATACACACAGGACATCTTGGATTAAATAAATGCAGAGAACGAGCAAAAATGTATGGTGGCCGAAAATATTACGGCAAATAGACTTCATCAAGAGAAGTGAATTTTGTAATTGTCATCGCGCTGCAAGTCCCCACGAAACCTTGAAAGCAGCCACTTTGCCAGATAGGCATTGGCAGAAGGTGAGAACAGACATTCAAAAATTGGAGAGTATTACTTAGTCGTAATCGAATATTTCTTCCGTTACTTTGAAATAGTGAAATTAAGTTCACTAACAAGTAAAACAGTAACTGGAAAATTAAAAAATATATTTGCGAGATGAGGAATACCAGATGAAGTGATAACGGAAGATAATTCACAAGCACACATTTCGGAGAATTTGTTAAAAAAAAAAAAAAAAAAAAATATATATATATATATATATATATATATATATATATATATATATATATAATGATAATAATATGCGTTCACATGTACAACTGTGAGTCCTCATTTTACACAAGCAAATGGAACCGCTGAAAATGCAGTGAAAATTGCGAAAAAGATTACGACAACCAGGCATATTTCTCGCATTAATGACATACCGTAGTACACCGATAACGGCTACTGGAGTTAGCCCAGCAGAACTTTTGATGGGCAAGAAAATTAAAACAACTTTACCCAGTCACCCATATAAATTAAAACCTAAATGGCCAAATTTTAGGAAAGGAAAAAAGAAAAATATTGAGCTTATAAAACAAGAAGTAAAATAAATTATGATAAAAGACATGGAGGTAAGGATCTAAAGCCACTAAAAGTGGGAGATAGAATCCGAGAGAAAACGAATGAAGAGAAAACTTGGGAAAAGAAGGGTACAGTCATAGCAGCAAATAAGCACAATAGGACATATACAGTAAAGTTAGATTTAGGTGAATTCCGAAAAAGGAAGAGGAACCATTTACTGCCTATTGTAGAAAAAAAACAATACAATATTGTTCAAGAAAGAAGAAAAGAAAAGAAAGCAGGATCCATTTAAAAATGTGAATCAAGAAACAAGATCTAGTAAAGGACGGTTAACATTAAAACCAAAATACTTAAAGGACTATGTGTGAAAAAAAAAAAAAAAGAATCTGGACGGAGAGGTGTATCATCAGTAATCACTGATGAGTTACACCCCTTCTTTTTGTTGCTATTGTTTCGAGTCCCCGAGAGAGGGAGTGTCACTCGGGGCAGTTT